GTTTAGTCTGCTTTCCACCAGACACTAGGAGAAGAATTCACCTTTCAGCACAACAATAGCCTAAAACACAAGGCCAAATCTACACTGGAGTTGCTTACCAAGAAAACAGTGAATGTTCCTGAATGGCCGAGTTACAGTTTTAACTTAAATCTACTTGAACATATATGGCAAGACATGAAAATGGTTCTCTAGCAATGATCAACAACTAATTTGACAGAGCTTGAAGAATTTTGAAAGAAATAATGGGAAAATGTTGCACAATCCAGGTGTGGAAAGCTCTCTCACAGCTGTAATCACTGCCAAAGGTGCTTCTACAAAGTATTGACTCAGGGGTTTGAATATTTACGTAAATGAGATATTTCTGTATTAAATTCTCTATAAATTAGCAAAAATGTCTAAAAACAGGTTTTGACTTTGTCGTTATGGGGTATTGTGTGCAGATGGGTTAGAGGAAAATAAATATTTTATCAATTTTGAATTCAGTCTGTAACAACAAAATGTGGAATAAGGCAAGGGGTATGAATACTTTCTGAAGGCACTGTACATCAGACAACGCTAATCGGAAACGACAATGCTCTGTAACCAGAAGGATCAGCCCCTGTATGCTCTCTATCTCGCCAATAAATGCTGGTAGTATCAGGCAAGTGGCTTTGGTGTAGTGATACTTTCTAGGAAACATTTTAGCACAAGTGCTTCCATTTCTCAGTAGAGTAGCTTCCGGTGTGTTTGAGTTTGCATGTGCATTGCGTGTCACATGTGGGTGTGAGCAAGAGAGACGAAAAGAGGCTGCGTGTGTATGTGAATTTGTTGGTGTGTGTGTGGCTCTCTGTATGTATAGTGCCTTGCAAAAGTATTCATCCCCGTTGGTGTATTTCCTATTTTGTTGCAGTACAACCTGTAATTTAAATAGATTTTTATTTGGATTTCATGTAATGGACATACACAAGATAGTCCAAATTGGTGAAGTGGAATGAAAAAAATAACTTGTTTCAAATAATTCTAAAAAATTAATAACGGAAAAGTGGTGTGTGCATATGTATTCACCCCCTTTGCTATGAAGCCCCTAAATAAGATCTGGTGCAACCAATTACTTTCAGAAATCACATAATTAGTTAAATAAAGTTCACATGTGTGTAATCTAAGTGTCACATGATCTGAGTATATATACACCTGTTCTGAAAGGCCCCAGAGTCTGCAACACCACTAAGCAAGGGGCACCACCAAGCAAGCGGCACCATGAAGACCAAGGAGCTCTCCAAACAGGTCAGGGACAAAGTTGTGGAGAAGTACAGATCAGGGTTGGGTTATAAAGAAATATCCAAAACTTTGAACATCCCCCCTGGGCATTACAGAAGAGTGGCCAGAAAAAAGCAATTGCTTAAAGAAAAAAATAAGCAAACACGTTTGGTGTTCGCCAAAAGGCATGTGGGAGACTCCCCAAACATATGGAAGAAGGTACTCTGGTCAGATGAGACTAAAATTGAGCTTTTTGGCCATCAAGGAAAACGCTATGTCTGGCGCGAACCCAACACCTCTCATCACCCCGAGAACACCATCCCCACAGTGAAGCATGGTGGTGGCAGCATCATGCTGTGGGGATGTTTTTCATTGGTAGGGACTGGGAAACTGGTCAGAATTGAAGGAGTGATTGATGGCGCTAAATACAGGGAAATTCTTGAGGGAAACCTGTTTCAATCTTCCAGAGATTTGAGACTGGGACGCAGGTTCACCTTCCAGCAGGAGAATGACCCTAAGCATACTGCTAAAGCAACACTCGAGTGGTTTAAGGGGAAACATTTAAATGTCTTGGAATGGTCTAGTCAAAGGCCAGACCTCAATCCAATTGAGAATCTGTGGTATGACTTAAAGATTGCTGTACACCAGCAGAACCCATCCAACTTGAAGGAGCTGGAGTAGTTTTGCCTTGAAGAATGGGCAAAAATCCCAGTGGCTAGATGTGCCAAGCTTATAGAGACATACCCCAAGAGACTTGCAGCTGTAATTGCTGCAAAAGGTGGCTCTACAAAGTATTGACTTTGGGGGGGGTGAATAGTTATGCACGCTCAAGTTTTCATTATTTTTGTCTTATTTCTTGTTTGTTTCACAATAAAAAAATATTTTGCATCTTCAAAGTGGTAGGCATGTTGTGTAAATCAAATGATACAAATCCATTTTAATTCCAGGTTGTAAGGCAACAAAATAGGAAAAATGCCAAGGGGGTGAATACTTTCGCAAGCCACTGTAAGTGTGTGTTAGTGTGTGTAGTGCATGGCTCTCTGCATGTACAGTAAATGTACAAATGTCTATTTATTTGTGTGTGCGTGCATGTGTGTGTGTGTATTCTGTGTGCTGCCATATCCGGTTTCGTGAGTGAGTTCAAGCTACCCTGCGCTGTCATCAGAGCAGGATGATGTGACGGGAAACCTGGACACTTGCGTCACGTGACTGGGAAGAAGGATGCCCACGTCAGAGAGGATGATGGGAAAAGCGTGTCACATACCATAACGAGGCAGGATGGTATACCATCAGAGCCGTGTGGTCACTTGGTGGTGGATGTGAAAACACACAAAACCCCCACTCACTCAAATTAAAAGGATCAGTTACAACACAATAATGAGGGAAGGACACTTACAGTAAACTCAGTTTACTCTGATTGTCCACTCCGCTTCCAGCTCACTTAGTGGCAACTCCCATATATTTAAAGCATATTGGCATCTATGTAATAATAATAGGATGTTTTATTGTCACATACACCGGATAGGTGCAGTAAAATGTGTTGTTTTACAGGATCAGCCATAGCAGTACGGCATCCCTGGAGCAAATGAGGGTTAAGTGCCTTGCTCAAGGGCACTTTGGCAGATTTTGTACCTTGCCCCCTCAGGTATTTGAACCAGCGACCTTTCTGTTTATGGCCCAACACTCTAACCGCTAGGCTACCTGCATGTAGTACTGGCCACCTTTCTCCTCTCCAACCTGGCCAGGATGATTCTATACAGGTATATCAAAGTCTAATCTTATGACCTCATTATACCTCACACAGTCAGGGAAGTGCTTGAGAAAGAGCACAATGCACAGAATGAGACTCCAATAGAGATCAACTAATAGTCATATTGTGATGTCATTGCTTACTGTTCACATCAGTTGATTTAAGCTGTAAGCAACACAGAATTAGAATATTTGTTTATCTCCCAGGTATATTTACAATGTTTGGTGTTTATTTGGTTTGTCATTCAGCACAGATGGGGGTGCAATCAAAAACATCTGCAAGATCTACTCCGCTTCCAGCTAACTTAGTGGCAACAGTCAAAGCATGTCGGCATCTATGTAATAATAATCGGAACTGCAACAGGGTGAAGTTTTCAGGGGTTGAGGGGGATCTTTTTTTTTTTTTTTTAAGCTGGCAGTATCTGCTCGCTCCTTGTTATTTCAACTGGGTTTGCCAAGGACCTGTGCCAAGGGTTTGTTAGGATGGTTTGCAGATGCTTGTCTGAAATCCGATTCACAACATGGACTAAGGTTGGGAACGTTTCTAACAGTTTCCTCGGCACTGCAATGGCCAGGCCGGAATCTGGGAATGGAATCAAACAGGAATTCCCTGACAAGGCCTACAAGGTGAGAGAGATGGGTGGTGAATCATTCACAGATCCAAACAACATGAGGTTTTGGGCATCTGCAGGCCACAACACCGCAAACCCTGACAATGCACTTTGTCAGAAAATAGTTAGGCGAGCTCACAAATGTATGAGAGACCATACTCTGATTCGACAACATGTAATCAAGGGCTCAGCCAGAACCAAGATACTGTAGCAACCAAGCACAGAATTCAACTGGACGAGAGTTTAAGCACCTGTTAGCTTTTTCAAATCTATATCGTGCTTAGAATTCAGAAGTGGCTAAGTTTCCACATATGGTTTCCATAGTCTCTTTTTCATACTTCCATTTAATTCTCCCTCTGTCTGAATCCTCTTTGATTTTACATATTCCCAGATTTGGTTATACCCAGAACATATTCAGAAGATTAGGTATTGTGCATGCATGTAAACCAGTATGGATGAGCAAGCACCTGTCTATCCTCACCATAGGAGGAGGACTTCTAAAGCCTATCTTTTGGCAGGGGAATCACTGCATAGCTATCATGAAGGGGGAAAACATCAGGCCTCAGCATGCAACCCCACACACCAGAGAATGAATGCCCTGCCAAGACCCTCCTCCTCTTTAACTCCTCAGATGACTTTCAGAACATGATTGCAACCGAGAACATGATCACGTCCGTAGCTATCAACCTTGGCAGATCAGGAAAGGAACCGCATACCAACACAGGAACCGCATACCAACACACGTCGGACGCATCTGGGAAAATAAAGAACGTGAATAAATTACACGCAGCTGGAATCAGACGTCCCTCCTCTCTCCTCTGAGATAAAGAGTGAAATATGGGATGTGAGTTACTGGACCTCTTTTGAAGGGTCGGCCTTTTTGTAAACGTAGCTTATGTTTTCTTAGTATCTGCCAAAGATCAACATGATAACACCCTTGGTATTTTATCTGCTTTGACCCGGTGAAATAAATCATATATTCATTGTAGCATCATGCATTGATCTACACTGTTAATCATCTTTAAAGGCTCCTTCGCTATTGATCCTTGATGTCTCTCCTTATGGAGCACTAACCTAATGTCGCAGCGATTCTGGTCCCGCCGGGGAGGGAAAAAAACTGTCTGGGAGGTTCTCTTCTCCACTGTTGAACCAATCCAGTAAATATGGAGGAGGAGTTAAGATGGAGTGTCGCCTTGTTAATGTCCTCTCTTTCCATTTCCCCTGAAAACCAGATTTATCCGGTTGTTTACAACCCCGCAGAGGGTGATGGAGCACAGAGCATGTGGTCATTGGGTCACTATCGCCCTCTTGTGGACTAGTAGAGAACAGAATAAGTGAAGGAATGGATTCACATGGTTCCATGAATTCACATTATAGAAGGGGTCCCAAAAAAATTGCATTTATGCCTCAATAAAATATTTTATTATCCATAACCATTATCACTACAAGCAAAATAACGACAATATTTGCCATGAGCATTACACTGTTGTGCAGAACAAGTAAGCTACCTTCTCATCACATAATATTAATACTTTTTTAAATAAATGTTTGGTAACATATTTGGTCCCCTTAATAAATGTTTTATATGTACACTGTATTCTATCAAACGATATTCACTTAATGAAAAATGGCAACTTGACCACAACCATACTTCTTCAACCATCCAGTCTGTTCTGATTTGCAGAGGGAAGTCAACTTGGGCAAGTATATAAGCAACGCAGGTGTGAGATTTACCCATTGAAAAGATGGAAGACAATAGTGATCCCCCCTCCACTCTTCTCATACTGTAGTTAATACAAACACAGTGCAGATCTACCTTTCAAAAAGTTTAGGCAGTCGAAGCACTGGAACCAACCATGTTGTGATGCAGATGTTTGCCATGTGATGCTGATGTGGCACCATGTTAGCCAAGCTAACATGGCAGTTGAGGTGATTCCCAGCATCAACACCCCACTGAACCCAATGGAGGTCCCAGAGGAGGGTGATTAGTCAGTCTTCTTGTTCTGCTCTCTGCGGGCCTTTCTCTTCAGCTGCAGGGTCTTCAGCTCTATCATGGTGGAGAACGTCCTGTACACCCACAACGCCTGAGACACACACACATGCACAGATCTGTTAACACAGGCCTACGATCAGCTCTCTTTCACTTGGGATTTAATGGTTGAGAATAACGTTTAAAACTTACAACAATGACGATTGTGTTGAGCAGAAGGGGAATGGAGTAGACCAAAGATATGAACATCCCATTTGAATCAAAGTACTGGAACTTGGAAAATGACCTGTGAAATTACAAAATAAGTTGTTTCTCACTAACTAAATTACTAATAAAACAGTCAACATATTTTCCCCCAGGAGTATACAATGTACTGCAGCTCGATGAGATCTTTACCTCCAGTTCATGGCTGCCACCTCGTTCAGATATTCAGCGCTGTACACCATGCATACTGTGGAGAGAGGGGAAACAGCAATTACTGGATGGCATGAATAAATGTTTGTGCATAAAATGTGTAGTGATTTTAAAAGATACAAATCACATGACATCTAACCAACGATATGGTAGTAGTAGAAACACACATCCACTTACCCATAAACAGGAACTGGCATATTTGCACTCCGTAGAATCTGCGTGTCAGGAGAGTTGCGAGGAGACAGACAGCATGGAACACCAGAAGTCCAATAAGCCACGGCTCAGACCACTGTATCTGCAGACATGAAATCAAACAGTGGTTTAGCTAGCTAGCTACATTTCCAAACAATAAACAGCATCATGTTATTGGACAGTGGGTTGGCATTGATACTAGCTACTAGATAGTCAGCAAGCTAACTCATAAGCAACACAACAACCAGATAACTGGTCAGATATATCTTTTTAACTTAATCTATTTAATCTTGTAATATATATCTCTACTTTGACTAGCAGAGAACACAACAAAGATAGCTAGCTCTCAAGCTAAGCTAGTTAGGCTAACTCATCTTTGCTAAGGCAAGCTAGCATCCAATATACATTTCCCGAGGAATAAGAAAGACAAACCAAACGTACAGACATCAGAAATGTCCATATTGATGTGATTCGCATATTGCTAAATCCATCGATTGGAATAGAGCTTATATTTTGTGCTTTCTGATCAGTCATCTTGACAAAATACACGTTCTCAACTACCGTGTAAACACAAGAAACGAATGCGGAACAAACGCATCCTCCGTCGCCGAAAATTGACGCCACCCCTTCCTCTTCTATTATATAAGGGAGGTTCGCAAACAAACGTTAAAGCTGCATGCCGCCACCTACCGTGCTGGAGTGTGTGGTCAATCACGGTGTACAACATTTCTAAATCCTCCTACCTAACATTTACATTTTAGTCATTTAGCAGACGCTCTTATCCAGAGCGACTTACAGTTAGTGCATACATTATTTTTTTTCTTACCCCCTGTGGGAATCGAACCCACAACCCTGGCGTTGCAAACGCCATGCTCTATCAACTGAGCTACATCCCTGCCGGCCATTCCCTCCCCTACCCTGGACGACGCTGACTCAGTACTTCTGAGAAGAAAAAAAAGAGCCCTACTAACTTCTAATAGACCCTCTCCCATCCCCAAAATTAGATTTACCAGATGACTATTCAATACTGACAGAGAATCTGCGCATACTATAATTCTAACAGGTTGAACGTCCTCCACCCACTGGAGGGCAACTACTATCGCCAACAGTTCAACTGAGTATACTGACAGTTCATCTGTTAGTCTTCTACATATCAAATTCAGGAATGTAAACGCCTGCTCCTGTGTACCCACTATCTGGGTCCTTGGATCCATCTGTAAAAAGCAGTAAAAAAGCATAAAAACTTCTACCAATGTAATTGTCAACCAGTTTCCCTATATCACTGACTTCTGACCAATATTTCCTTTTCTCTACCAAGGTTAGATCAACAACAGGATCTGGGAGTAACCATGGAGGAACATCCCCTATCACCACAGAAGGGCCAACCTCCAACTCCCTCAAACCACTCTCATCAGCAAGCTTTCCAACTGTCCAACCAAAACCACTGCCTTGTCTACTAGTATATTCCCAACAGTCATCTAGAACAGTAACAGTGGGATGCTTAACCTCACAGCCTTGCAACCTAACCCAATAAGCTAATGACCATTTTTTACGCCGTATATCCAAAGGCATTTCACCTGCCTCCACTAGTAAGGCACATACAGATGTTGATTTAAATGCACCAATACATATCCTTAAAGCTATATACTGGATTCTGTCCAGCCTTTGAAGCCAAGTCTTCACCACTGTTCCATTAACTATTTACCCAAAATCAATTGTTATCCTGATCAGAGCTCTATAAATATCCATAAACGATTGTCTATCAGCACCCCATTCATAACCAGAGACCGAATGCATAAGATTCACCACCTTGTTACACTTTGTTTCAACATTTATGACATGATCTTTCCATGTATTTCGCTCATTGAACCATAGACCCAAATATTTGTACTTAGAAACCCTTCCCATAGGCTGTCCATACAGAAACAAATGTATATTATCAGCAACTTTCTTCTTCGAGAAGAACATACAACAAGACTTTGCCACTGACAATTTCAAAACTCCAGTCATTCGACCATCTTTCAACATCCACTATAGCTTGTTGAATAGATTTGATCACATGAGAGACATTCCTTCCCCTCTTTCAAATAGCTCCATCATCAGCATATAGGGAAGTCCCAATACCCCTACCTACATTCGTAAACACATCGTTAATCATAACGTTGAACAAAATAGGACTGATAGCACTGCCTTGAGGAATACCATTGTCTACTCCATAGGCATCAGTTAAAATGGATCCTATTTTAACTCGAAAAGAGCGATTAAATAAGAAGGCCAAAACCCAGTTATATAATCGTCCACCAATACCAAGTCTTTCCATCTTAATCAGTAGGCCTTCTCTCCACATAGTGTAATAAGGCTTTTCAATGTCAAAAAAGACAGTAGCCATTAATTATTTCATGACCAGAGTTTTTTCAACTTCATTGCTCACCTTTACTAATGCATCCAAAGTAGATCTAGCTTTACGGAATCCACTTTGACATTGACTCAATAAACCTCTATGTTCCAGGAACTATGACAATCTGTTGACTATCATCTTTTCCATCAGTTTACACAAGTTAGAGGTCAGTGCTATTGGTCTATAACTATCAGCACATGAAGGGTCCTTACCAGGCTTTACAAAAAGGTAATGTTACTGCACGTTTCAACCAGAAGGTATAACCCCCTCACTCCAAATCGTATTAAATAATCGCAGGAGAACATGTATGACCTCATCAGGTAGATGCTTAAACATGACATAGCACAACTGATCATGAACTGGGGCTGTATATCCACAGCCTATTAAGGCTGAACGCATCTCATGGATGGTAAAAACAGCATCCAAAGAAGAGTCAACAGTATTCCTTTTCTAATACACATTAACATGAGCATTTAAAATCTCACACCTGCATTGCTTATATACTTAATCCAAAGTACCCTCACTATGTACCTTAGCAAATGTCTTCCCCAACAAGTCAGCTTTTTCTTTATCAGTTATGGCCATTTTTTACCCACAACCAAAACTGGAATTCGAGTGGACTTGCTTCTTCCAGTCATCTTCTTCAACATAGACCATACATCCCCCAGCTCAGTACCCCTCCCTGCCTATTGTAGAGCAGAGCTGTCTCCATGCATTTCTCTTGACAGACTTAATGACCCTACATACTAAAGCTCTCTTCCTTTGGAAATCAACTAGATTCTCAGGAGTCATATTCCTACACAACACTGTAAGACCTATTTCTTTCTCGAATAGCCGCAGTGCACTCTTCAGTCCACCAAGGAACCACCTTCCTTTTCTCACCCATGTCACTCACTGGTACATATACATTCGCAGAACTCAAAATCAGAGAAGTCACAGAGGCAGCACATACATCAACCAGCCTCTCTAAAGACAACTGTCCAACAGACTTTAAGCAATGTTCACCAAACTTTTCCCAGTCTGCTTTATGAAAGCACCATATTCTGAATGGTACCCTATCTGGAATAGTAACATCAAAGTTCATGGTACACGAAATCGGGAAATTATCACTTCCAACAGTAGAATAATTCCTTACATTCCATTCACACATAGATGCAATAGAATTAGAAGCCAGTGTGAGGCAGGATGTAACCCCTCTAACAACATCAACTCGTGTACCACATCCATCGTTAAGACATACCAATGCTCTTGTTTCCATCATATCTTCCACAATAGTACCATTAGTATCTGTATGTGTGCTTCCCCATAAACTATTATGTGCATTAAAGTTGCCACACCATATCTCTCTAGAGCCCAATTCTCCTGATATTTCATCAAACATCGCTACAGATAGTTGATGACAAGGGCTGTAAAAACGTAATATTACTACCTGCACTGTAGATTTCCACCATCACACATTCATATTCAGATGGGACAGGTATATTATGATATACAAGACCTTCCCTTATGAACGTAGCACACCCACCACCCTGTCCAATTGATCTATCAGATCTGATTGAGCAATAACCAGGAATAATACAATCAAGATGTGGTCTAAGCCATGTTTCTTGAACACATATCACATCAGGTTTGATCTCTAAATCAATTACATATTACTTAAACTCCTGACCGTTAGCAATAAGGCTTCTAACATTCCACTGAAGGATAACAAAAACCATAACTCTAATTATCATCATACTGAGACACTCCATTATCATTATTATTAGGAGTCAACACATCAACAATCATGGCGACAGTAACATCTGTTACTCCTAAAAACTTTGTTGCTGCTTCCAAAATGATCTTCAACATGGCAGTTCTTCTTTCCACAAACGCAGTCAGGTTGATAACCTTTCCAATGAAGGCTATGAAATCAAATCAAATCAAATCAAATCAAATCAAATCAAATTTTATTGGTCACATGCGCCGAATACAACAGGTGCAGACATTACAGTGAAATGCTTACTTACAGCCCTTAACCAACAGTGCATTTATTTTAAACAAAAAAAGTAAGAATAAAACAACAACAAAAAAAGTGTTGAGAAAAAAAGAGCAGAAGTAAAATAAAGTGACAGTGGGGAGGCTATATATACAGTAAAATAAAGTGACAGTAGGGAGGCTATATATACAGGGGGGTACCGTTGCAGAGTCAATGTGCGGGGGCACCGGCTAGTTGAGGTAGTTGAGGTAATATGTACATGTGGGTAGAGTTAAAGTGACTATGCATAAATACTTACTTAACAGAGTAGCAGCAGCGTAAAAAGGATGGGGTGGGGGGGCAGTGCAAATAGTCCGGGTAGCCATGATTAGCTGTTCAGGAGTCTTATGGCTTGGGGGTAGAAGCTGTTGAGAAGTCTTTTGGACCTAGACTTGGCACTCCGGTACCGCTTGCCGTGCGGTAGCAGAGAGAACAGTCTATGACTAGGGTGGCTGGAGTCTTTGACAATTTTGAGGGCCTTCCTCTGACACCGCCTGGTATAGAATTCAATCTGATGAACTATTAAAGTGTCCTTTGACACGACACATTTGTGAGAACAAGATTTCTGAATAGGTCTCGTATCCGTGTCTGGACCAACATAAGCAACATTTCCTACAGTAGGTCCACTTATTCCAGGAGTAACCCTATTATCTCCATCATTCTGCCTAATAGTTCCACCAATCTGCCTTGCAGCCTCTGCATAACATTTTACATTTACGTCATTTAGCAGACGCTCTTATCCAGAGCGACTTACAGTTAGTGAGTGTATAAATGTTTTTTTTTCATTATGAATGATTTTCTATCTTTGGGCCTCTCTAGCCTTTGTCTGTACCTGGCATCCACCAAATGCTGCACTGTGTTACCCCACTGTGCTTCCTAGTTTGAAGTCGAACCACAGATAGAACAATGAGACAGATATTTCACCAAATGCATAAATGTGAAGCATCCGCTTGGCGTTTCCACTCACTACCAAATATGGTAGTGAGAGGAAGCCCACTGGCCGGCAGTGGGAGAAGATGGAAAGAGATGGATTTTGGCCGACATTCTGCAAATTTTCTCATTAATGAATCATTTGATTTCAATACAGTTTTTTGTTGCCAAAACTAGAATATGTTATGAACAGAGCAGACTAAGTTTTGTAGACTTTACCCTTAGCAACAGTTTTTAAAAATCGTGTTGTTTAAAAA